GTGAGCGTAAATGCGTTCAGGGGGCGTGGCTTTGGACGGTGATTGCAGGGAGGGTGGGACGTTCGCTTTCAGTGCTATCAGGCTAAAGTTAGCATTTTCCAAGATCTCCTACTGCACCTTTAATGAATTATTCCAAACTTTTGACTGAATTTTTTTGGTGGTCCATGGCAACAAAAGTTTGAAAATCCACGATATAGCAGAATCTTTTATTCAAACAAAACAACAAACAATACTGTTTTTCTCTCAGATAATCAGTGCACGTGTGACTGAGGAGCATTTTATTGGCTGGCTGCAGTCAGAACCCCGGCTGCTGTTATGGCTGTCCACTCTCTACAGGATTTCAGTGAGTGAAGCTGTACAACACAGAGTCCACTGCCATGCCTGTAAAGCCTTTCCTATCACTGGCCTCAGTTATGCTTTTTCATAGTATTGCCATACATATTTTACAGGGTTTTAAATTGATTTACTGGCCCACAGCTGTGTGCATGTTACAGTGTAGAAAAGTGTTTGTAATATGTATGTTTATTGTTAACTAAAATGAAGCTAAAACTGAAAATGAATAAAAGAAACATAAATGACAAAAACACATAATTACTAAAAATAAAATGATAGTATAAATAATACTAAAAAATACAGGTACATTATGTTTGTATTGGGGTTGACATGCATGCTGTCTGGTAGATGATAATGGTATGACCTGTCCATAGGTATCGCTGTTTGAAATGCCTGAATGTACACCTGTGCCAAAGCTGCTTTCTGACTGAGAGACACAGCAGGAAACACAAGCCCTCTCATCCTGTACTGGAGTACTGCACTCAGGTGTGCAACCAAGCATATGATGTTTTACATATATTAACAAAGGTTTTCAGTTTAATGCCTCAATTTAGTGTGATTAATTAAAATAATAACTGATTTCATTTTTTATATCATAGAATTTGAAATATTAGTGTAACAATGAACGAGACAACGGAGTTGGGATCTAAATGCAGCTTTAATAAAATGAGCGTAGTCAAAAGCAGGCAGGGTCAAACACCAGCAAAACACAATAGATGAGGTAAAGCAAGACTTAGCAATGAGCATGAGTGAAGGAGCTGCTTAAATAGTCTGGGTGATGGGAAACAGGTGTGAGGGTAATTAGTTCCTAGACAGGGGATTATGAGAAATGGAGTCGGGAGGAAAAGATGATGGAGTCCTCTGATGGCGAGAAAATTGCTCCTTTTCTTTTAATTTCTCTATACATATTTTGGTTACATATATTACGGTTTGTTCAGCCATCCTGGAAGGAGTCAATGGCGTCACTTGCCTCCAGTGCTCGACACGCTTTGGTACCTCGACACACTCGGAGAGAAGCAGAGAGGAAGAAAGCCCTGAGAGCAGGCTCCAGTGCAGAGCTGCAATACAGGTACAGATTTTGTGTGTACAGTATGTGTTTTTCTGTGTTGGAAATGGGCAGTAGCAAGTGAGCAAGCATATTTATGATTTCATGTGTCTGTATGTGTCTGCAGTGCCCCTTCTCCAGTGCTGCAATGCTCCAGTGTAGCAGATCCAGACATGCATAATGAAACAGGTCTGACTGCCACCCCTCCTGTGGTTACTGTAGAGTCGAAATGCCTGCAGACAGAAGAGACCGAGATTCCTCAGGTAACTTACCTGCAACGTTTCACAATAAAGTACAACATGGGGTTCCTAGTAAAATTCAATCTATAGATTTTAATAATGATTCATGATAAACAATCACCCTGTGGATATTTTTTATGTTTACGATGTTATAGAGAGAAGCAGCTATTCTCCAAAAAGACCTCAGTGTTACTCAGAAGGCCATGAGGGATCTACAGAGAGATAAATGGTGGGCCCTTTTTCAAAATAAATATTTTGACTATGGGGGGGACAGGCAGTCTTGTGTGCCGTGTTTGTGTACAATTGTGTTGTTGTATTGCACCTCAGTGCGTTTGTGATGTTATGATCAGGCTTCTGGAGAAAGAGTTTCAGGTGTGGAGAGTTGCAGCCCAGTCAGAGCATGATTCACTGGAGGACAAATGTACTGAGCTGAAGACCATGATGGAGACGATGAACCAACATAACCAGCATCTGGAAGAAGAACTGGACAGAGTCAGACATGTGAGAAGGGTCATAAGGAGGGCAGTTCAAAAATATTTGGGCCTATAAATCTAAGATTTATGTGTTTGAATTCCATATCATATTTCTATTAATTTGAATTGCACAGTTTTAACATGAACAAATTAAGAAACTAAATGTAATGCATATTTGTCAGTCATACATAAAGAAACATAAGAAACTGTAAGAGTAGTTCAACTGTACAGATGTCTGTAATCATACTAATAGACTGAATGTGTTTTAAATACATTTAGAACACATTCAACTTATACATTTATCATCAATACATTCAATTTGTTTCATACATTTTAACTAATTGCATTGAATATGTTCCACAGCTAGCCATATTTTAACCATGTTAATACATTTATGCAGATTTATGCTGATTCTAATATAATGCTCTAATATAAATGTTTTAAAAATATGAATGTATTAAATAAAATAAATAAATGTAAATAGGCAATAATAAACTATGCCATGATTTTATGAGTGCAAAAATATTACCTGTTTCATTTGTATATGACTGACAAATATAACATTCAGTTTATTGGTTTATGTTAAAACTGTGTTATCCAAATGAATGGAATTTGTAAGCAGATTCAAATAGAAAAATCTTTAATTTAGGTCTAAATATTTTTTTCATAAAAATATTTTAATATTTAAATATTTTATTTAGAGAAAATAAGTGTGTTTGTCAGAAGACGGAGACAGAGGCTAATTTCAGAATGACATACTTTTTACTCTTTTTGAAAAGAAAGTAGTATGTAGTACGGCTATTGGTAAGGGTCAATATTTTGCATGGACATGGTGGAAGGATACCACTCTATGAATGGAACATTCTAAAGAAAATATGAGCCATGCTGGGTTTACTCAAGAAGAAATCCAGAGAGAGATGACAAGGAACATATAACAGGTTCTTTAATAATTTTTTTTTTTTCATTGTCACAGATTTTGAGTCTGAGGGACAGAGATCAGCTCAGAATTGACTTTCATTCCCATTCAAACCCTCAACCAGAACATGATGGCAGCATTAGTGAGAATGACTGGACACAACCAGGGTGTTTAAAACCTCAAGACAGCTCCAGTGGAGAAGAGCAGGTTGAGGAGGGGAGAGAAGCATATCAGGAAGGAAGAACAGAAGTGGATGAGGAGACTCTTTATGAGGTATCAGAAGACATCTCCACAAATCTGGATGACACAGAAGAGGATGTCCATACGGCTTCAGAGCAGCAAGAGGAAGTTGAGGAGGAGGGGCTACAGGTGGAACAGGAGGAATTACTGCATGAAAGACAAGATCAATCTGTACTTAATCAATCTGTGTCTGATTTAGCTCTGGAAGAGCATTCAGACTCCGATGATTCAGAGATGGAGGAGGAAGAGGAACGTCTCGGGTTACTTGTGTAACCATGGTTCCCTGAGGGGAACGAGACACTGCGTCCTCTAGGGGTCGCTATGGGGGAACGCCTCGTCGTGACCCGTGTCTGAAGCCTACATTGAAAAAACACCAACTTGTTTGGCCGGCGACAACCATGACGTCACTACCGCCGCGACTAGTACAAAATAGGCGCCGGTAGCGCACATCATTCACTTCTTCGTCTGAAGCTTGTGTCCGCAGCATGGCACAAAAACTAGAGGACGCAGTGTCTCGTTCTTTTATGTTTACGGTGTTATAGAGAGAAGCAGCTATTCTCCAAAAAGACCTCAGTGTTACTCAGAAGGCCATGAGGGATCTACAGAGAGATAAATGGTGTGCCCTTTTTCAAAATAAATATTTTGACTATGGGGGGGACAGGCAGTCTTGTGTGCCGTGTTTGTGTACAATTGTGTTGTTGTATTGCACCTCAGTGCGTTTGTGATGTTATGATCAGGCTTCTGGAGAAAGAGTTTCAGGTGTGGAGAGTTGCAGCCCAGTCAGAGCATGATTCACTGGAGGACAAATGTACTGAGCTGAAGACCATGATGGAGACGATGAACCAACATAACCAGCATCTGGAAGAAGAACTGGACAGAGTCAGACATGTGAGAAGGGTCATAAGGAGGGCAGTTCAAAAATATTTGGGCCTATAAATCTAAGATTTATGTGTTTGAATTCCATATCATATTTCTATTAATTTGAATTGCACAGTTTTAACATGAACAAATTAAGAAACTAAATGTAATGCATATTTGTCAGTCATACATAAAGAAACATAAGAAACTGTAAGAGTAGTTCAACTGTACAGATGTCTGTAATCATACTAATAGACTGAATGTGTTTTAAATACATTTAGAACACATTCAACTTATACATTTATCATCAATACATTCAATTTGTTTCATACATTTTAACTAATTGCATTGAATATGTTCCACAGCTAGCCATATTTTAACCATGTTAATACATTTATGCAGATTTATGCTGATTCTAATATAATGCTCTAATATAAATGTTTTAAAAATATGAATGTATTAAATAAAATAAATAAATGTAAATAGGCAATAATAAACTATGCCATGATTTTATGAGTGCAAAAATATTACCTGTTTCATTTGTATATGACTGACAAATATAACATTCAGTTTATTGGTTTATGTTAAAACTGTGTTATCCAAATGAATGGAATTTGTAAGCAGATTCAAATAGAAAAATCTTTAATTTAGGTCTAAATATTTTTTTCATAAAAATATTTTAATATTTAAATATTTTATTTAGAGAAAATAAGTGTGTTTGTCAGAAGACGGAGACAGAGGCTAATTTCAGAATGACATACTTTTTACTCTTTTTGAAAAGAAAGTAGTATGTAGTACGGCTATTGGTAAGGGTCAATATTTTGCATGGACATGGTGGAAGGATACCACTCTATGAATGGAACATTCTAAAGAAAATATGAGCCATGCTGGGTTTACTCAAGAAGAAATCCAGAGAGAGATGACAAGGAACATATAACAGGTTCTTTAATAATTTTTTTTTTTTCATTGTCACAGATTTTGAGTCTGAGGGACAGAGATCAGCTCAGAATTGACTTTCATTCCCATTCAAACCCTCAACCAGAACATGATGGCAGCATTAGTGAGAATGACTGGACACAACCAGGGTGTTTAAAACCTCAAGACAGCTCCAGTGGAGAAGAGCAGGTTGAGGAGGGGAGAGAAGCATATCAGGAAGGAAGAACAGAAGTGGATGAGGAGACTCTTTATGAGGTATCAGAAGACATCTCCACAAATCTGGATGACACAGAAGAGGATGTCCATACGGCTTCAGAGCAGCAAGAGGAAGTTGAGGAGGAGGGGCTACAGGTGGAACAGGAGGAATTACTGCATGAAAGACAAGATCAATCTGTACTTAATCAATCTGTGTCTGATTTAGCTCTGGAAGAGCATTCAGACTCCGATGATTCAGAGATGGAGGAGGAAGAGGAACGTCTCGGGTTACTTGTGTAACCATGGTTCCCTGAGGGGAACGAGACACTGCGTCCTCTAGGGGTCGCTATGGGGGAACGCCTCGTCGTGTGAGCTTGTACAGCGACTTCGAAATGAGCTTCTCTATATACAGCCACAGGTTTGTGCAGTCATTTTTATAATACTTTGTGGCTTTGTTTATAATTAGTTACATATTCAAAACGCATGAAATGCTTTAATATAAATATTTATCAATTATTAAATAATAATAATAATTAAATATATATTTTTGTGAGTGATTTTTGTTTTCTCTCCATCAGGGTCAGTATGTCTGCAGAAAGAAAAGCTAATGACGGCAGCAGAGGGAGTCAGAGATTCTGTTTCTCATCTTGTCACTTCTGTGAGGACCACCAGTTTGGCATGATGGCAGCCAACCATCAGTAGGAAAATAACTTACCCTTACTTGCAACTACTACAAGCCAATTTCCATCTCTCGTTCCATCACAAGGTTAATCATAAACAGCAGATGCTCACAGTGGACTGAAGGTTGACAATTCACAATGTAATGAAATCTAAAAATAAATAGGTTCAGAGATTTATTTCACTATTTATACTGTTAATATAAATGAAACATTGGTTAACTTTAAGTTTATTTGTTTACAGGGGCAATGCACATTAATGAACATGACTGTAAATGTGCCAGAATTAGCCACAAGGCTATTTTTCATCTGTAGACTCTTGACAGAATGTTAAAAAGTCAACCTAAAAAAGCAAACATAGCATCTTATAAAAAACAAAAATGGAAAAAACAACACATTAAAAATGTAAAATACAAAAAAAAATACAAACAACATAATCCCACATATAAATCATGCTAAAAACATCAAATTGTAGAAAAAGATATCTAAACTCATATTGTGTACTACATGAGAGATAGCAACAGGAGAATAACAAAAAAACAAAAGCAATGATTACAGGAAAGCATAAAGGCTTAGAGTCAGGTCAAATAAAATACTAATGTTGACAGTGTTGAGTATTAATTAACCATTTTTTAAAGATGAAACTTAAAAGAACCGTATGTATCCATTCCTCTCATTTTTGGTGGGATGGAGTTCCATTACTGTGCAGACTGACTAAATTTAAACTTTCTGAGGGGAATAATACAACCCCCTCTTACTCCACCCCTTGTAGACCGATGTGCAGTTGTTTTTATATTAACATGCTGTTTTAATGGAGAAGTCAAGTTATGTATAGTCTTAAACATAAGATAAACATCGGCATATTTGATCATGCTATCCCAACTCAGCAAATTGTATTTTTTAAATATTGAACAATGGTGAAAAGTTTTTATCAAGAATTTTTAGTGATTGTTTATACAAAGACTGCAATGGTTTTAAAGTAGTTGTACTAGCTTGTGAACATGTTGTTAAACAACAAGTAATTTGAGAAATTATGATAGAATTAACATACATCATAGCAGCCTCTGGTGACATATAATCTCGAATAAATCTAAAATTTGACTTTGAGTGACTAAATTTGACCCGGTCACAGACCGTTTTAACTTTAGCCTTTCAAGGTCCTTGTTCCCCTGATATAAAAAAATCTGGCATTTCACTAGAGCTATATGTTTTGGTAAAAAAAGCAAAAAAAACAAACATGCACAACGTTTTAGAAATATTTAATTGTAAACCGCATTGTTCTAGTCAAGCTGTTACATGAACCATAGACTTTGTAAGTTCATTAGCCACTTGTGACTCACTTCTCCCAAGTATATAAATAATAGTGTCATCCACGTATATTTGGATATTAGTGTCAGGACAAACAGATGGAAGATCATTAATATACAACATAAATAGCAATGGACCCAGTATGGATCCTTGGGGTATACCTGTGGATATACTTAAAGGGGTCATATGATGCTGCTAAAAAGAACATTATTTTTGTGTATTTGGTGTAATGAAATGTGTTTATGCGGTTTAAGGTTCAAAAAACACATTATTTTCGACATACTGTAC